TGATCATCATCATCATCATCATCATCTACCACGAGAGGAAAGAAAAGCCATGGCCAACAAGGAGATGAAGGATAAGATCGATAACCTTGACATCCAGATGCGAAGTATGAGCGAGGTTATGGAAGGAAGGCTGGGATCGCTTGACGAAAGTCAAAACAACACCAACGCCGTTGTCACACGACTCGAACAACGATTAGAGGAAGTCTTGCGCGCGCTCCAGCAGCAACCCCCACATCATCGCGACGATCCCCCAAGGCGTGAACCGCGCCAACACGTCAAGCACGCCGATCGCACACCATCACCACGACGCGAGGATCGGCGCGAGAAACGAGACGCGCGCGAATATGATGAGGACCGGCGACATGAGGGTTACGAGCACGAGGATGAGTTCGATCAGCGGTCGCAGGCGTCCACCTACCGAGAACGACCGAAGCCCGACAAGCTGAGGTTCGTAATGTCCATCTTCACGGGTAGTGATCCGGAGGCTTGGCTCAACCGAATTGCACAATATTTCGAACTGAATGAAACAGAAGGCCACGACCGAGTAAGGTATGCAGCATTCTACCTAGATGGTGAGGCCAATGTATGGTGGCAATGGCTCTCAAGGATCTACCGCAAGCGACAACAAATTATCACTTGGGATGTCTTTGAAAGAGAGTTGCTTACGCGTTTCGGTACGTCTGATTACCATAATTACAACGAGGCTCTTGCACGCATGCAACAGACCGGCAACTTGCGTGAATATATTAAGGAGTTCGAACGTCTAGCATGCCGCGTGCGAGATTGGCCCTGTAACACCCCTCCTTACTATAAAATCAGAGTGCGCTAAAATTCGCAAAGTTATTTAAAAATAAACCTTTTTACTTTGCGAAAACTGATTCGGGGTGCTACCTTTAAAAATCGTGACTTAACTTAGAAAATTGTTGTTTTAATTTAATAAAAACGTTCGGTTACTGAAATCATGAGTTTCTTAAAAGTTCGTCAAAACCAACAAACATCGTCA